GTCTCTCGAAATCCATTTTAAGTTTTAAAAAATGTGCATTCATATCAAATAATTTAAGTATGTAATCGCGATGATCAGAACTATCTTAAGAAAAAAATCTTTGTATTTACTTGATACAACAGTTTTAATAGCTAAATGTAGATTAAACGCGATATTTTTTCCGCTAAATGACTTTTGAATTTAGAATTGAACACCCGATATGCAGTAAGAACAATGCTATAAAATTTATCTGAAGGCACTTTTAAGTTTCCAAGATCTTTTTCTGGTACATTGTAGGCTTTCCAAAATAGAACAGTATCACTTTGATATTTGTACTTTTGATCACCTCTACTTAAATTTTTTCAACACTTTTCACAATGAAACTTTGATACAGTTTTCTGAATTAAATATCTAGTTACATATTTCATAGTTGATGTTTCTAACGTTACTTGCATTTCATTCAGATTTCTATATCACTGTTTTCAGAGTCAATACTTTCAAGTTCTTGGTCTTCCGAGTTAATAAATTATTCTAATGCCCACGATCTAATTTTAGTATTATTATTTTCAGTCAACTGAATTATTATTTTTGTAAAGAATATCTGAAGGATTAAACAAACGTTTAAATTGATCTGGTTCACAATTTGTTCCAGCGGGGGGACACAATAAAGTTATAACAACAGAATGCTGGAAATATTTAAGGAATTGTAAAGGGGTTGGATGATGATTCGATCCACACCAAGCTCTAATAAAAGCGAAAAATCTTTCCAGTAAATCTTGATGTAATTTTCCCGTTAATAAATAATATTTGTTTTTCTTTCACAGTACTCCCCATGGTATCGAAAAACTTTTAATTGTTAAATGTAAATTAACAAAACAATCGACAATTTTGAATATATGACTGTCAAAAATAACAATTTTCTTTCTATAGTCAGTAGCTTCGCGTAAGGTTATTTCTACTTTTGGATAGTCATTGCATAAGCCACGTTTTAAAGGATTTGAATCTTTTGGATGACGCGCATTCAAACAATCAAATATGCTATTCAAAATTTGTAAAAAATTTGCTGTAGCAACACGAAAAGGGTATTTTAATTCCCCAAGGTTCTAACCTGATAGCATTGCTCTGGAAACAGATGATCTTAATACTGGAACCGCAAGCTCTACATTCATTTTTCAAAATTATTGGGATCTCAGTGTCTGTCCGTCAATTTTGGTGCTGCTTTACAAGATCTTAACCGTTCAAGGTCGCATAATTCATGAATGGCGCTCTGAGATATCCTATCTGATTCTACCATGTAATCATTACTTATTAAATTATTTTGCCAACATTTCATTGAGTGTGGAGGGTCACACACAAAAAAAATTTTTCGACGTAGCGCGAATTTTAAGACCCACTTCCTCAACCGCATCAATCATATCAAGAATAATAAATTTTTACAATTATCCTCTTATTGACCCACTAGAAAAGAAAAAAGCTATGGCTTGCTTCCACTTGTATGATAATCCCGAAATCATGGCCACAAAAACTGAGCTCGCCATACTGTCAGATCGTCCGAATCTCCACAAGTCCGCGAGTAATTCTGTGTAATTTTTGCGCACATTGTACTCTAAGTTAGGTTTAATTGTTATTTCATCCCACATCAGTATGCATTCTTTTTTATTTTCTGTCATGGATTCAGATTTTATTTTAATTAATTTGAAAAGGTCAGAATGTATACCAGGACTCAATGTCAATTGATTTATCCACTCTTACATTAACGAAACAAACGGCAACGCGATTTTTTTTTTCGTCACATAAAAATTTATAGGCTTTCGGGGCTTTCAACACGACCACAATCAGCAATTCTACTTACATGCGCGCTATCATATTGAACGATGTGTAAGTGAATTTTTTTTTTTAAGGCAATCCGAGATACCACTTGTGAGTGGAAAGTCATTTAAATGTGTGGAATTCGTTTCTTGCACAAGTGTACGATTAATATTGATAGGAAAAGAGCCATTCTTTAGGACTTTTTTACCAACACCATTAGTCTGAAAATCAGAATTTGCAAAATGTACACTACAAATACGCTTATTTTGCAGTTGGTCCTCGTCCAAGCCTTTACTACATCTCCGAAACCATTCTTTCAAGCCATATACAAATAAAATATAATACATATCACTAGATGGAATAAAAAATAACTGCAAGTTGTTTTAGCGAGTCCAAAATGTAAGCATATTCCAAAAATTTTAAACAAGAAGCAGATATAAAAATAGGACAATTATAAGGTAAAAGTTAATAAATAAAAGGACGTCTACATATCGAATTCTTAAACACATTTCTCAAATAACAATCTCGAATATTCATTTAAAAATACATAAACCATGAAATAATTTAAAAAACGGTTAATTGCACACATGTCTTTGTTAAACTTTTTTAAATATATTAAAAAATTTCGAATTAATTGAGGTGGACACATAATGCACTACATCTATATTAGTAACAAACGTAAATAAATATAAGCAGTTTAACAGTAATATTGAGTAAAAATTAATTGTTAAATCATTTAAGTTGAGAACCACTTCATTGCACCAAATACCTTAGGCTACAGGATTTTTTTCCTATGGGCTACTATAGGAAATATAGTATACTATCATCCCATAATACACAACAAGTACAAATGTTATTATAGTAAAAAATTTTCTTATAAGTACTTTACAGCTAACTATTTTCATGCTTCGTAAATTTAGAGTGATGCAGCCCACCATACAATTATTGTCTGCTAAGTTGCCATACCAACAGGCATTGCTTGACATATCGCATCAGAATCGCTGTTTTGCATTTTTTCCTAAAGCAAAAAAAGGGTTTTCTGTGCATTGCTAATGAATCAAATGTATCGATCACTTAATCGAAAATAAAATGTAAAAAGCACCCTCATTAAAGTACACCACGTGTTTTGGTAAAAGTAAATAATAATACACTAATATTTTTATCACAAGAACAAATCAATGTACGTAGCCCGTACTGTGGTTGAAATCGTAAAAATTTACTTTCATATAAAAATTACAATTACGAAACTTTGTCCTTAATCGGAAAACGATGAAATGACAGGTCAGGGTTGTTCGTCGTTGAATGCATACAATTCATGTAAGAACAACTTGCTTTCGGGATCTTTGCAAATCTTACGTGCCCACCATGGCTCTCACAGATAAAAAATTACCTCAACTTATAGTAACGAATAATTATTTACTGAATGATAGAGTATACGTCACCTTAAAACGCGCTGAAGCAGCGATAACTCATTGACTGTTGGCTAATGATTAAAGGGTTATGGTTTACGAGAAAAAAACAAACATCAGCTAATTGACGCGCGAATGTGCGCCTTTTTCATTAGCACATTGCGCAACATTTTAAATGTAGAGAATAGAAGTCACTTGTGTTTTTACATCCAGTATGTAATATACAAAAAGTATTTACACATTTTTACATTAGTTTTTTATTAGCATTAGCCAAGAGCAGTTTTTTAAATCTTATTATTACAATGAAAAATCGTATAAAATAAATATATATACAGAAATACATGAAAATTATAAAGAAATGAAATGTAATAAAATACATATCATGAAAATATATACCTGCAAAAAAAATAAAAATAAAATAATACCATCTTTCAGATTCGAAACCCAGAGCGCAAAAACAAATCTTGCGATCTTGATCGCTCGGCCATCAGTGAGATACGAATAAGGAGATTTATAAGCCATACATAAAGTGTTTGACCAGGTATGAGAACTCTAGTTAAAATTGGTGATTTTTATTTAAACTTTATTGTTTTAATTATTTTTTAAAGGAAGATTATTGTTTTGGTGTGTATTCCTCGGTATTCCTCATTACAAAAATTAATATCGACACCGTCAGTTCGCATCATAATTACCGATATTTTATGGTAACATTGGTAACTGATGCATTGAAGCTAAAGCCACCTGCCTTATAGGTAGGGGGGGGGGGGGCAGCTACAACTGGGGGACATGAGCTTTCAGCATCAAGAAACTGGGGCCGCTTTGGCCTTCTATACTTAAAGAGGATATATTCTATTATCTCTGGCGAAACCAAGAATTTTTCCCCATCCAAAATCCTCCAACGCGCCTAAAGAAGTTTTCACTAAAAAAAAAAAAAGTATAAGTATAGGTTTTTCTGCATGTGCAAGCTTGAATTTGATACGGTTAGTACTTGGATGGGTGATGACCATTCAAGTCTCGCCGTGGACACCCTAGATTGTTCCTCAGTCTCTCCGACATTGTAAGCGAGAGGAGTGCCCAATTTCTGCCCCAATGTCTAAGTCTGCAGCTTAGACAATATGGTCAGAAATGAAGCAGATACGCCGGGTTCTTCCAGACCAGGTGTTTCCTACGGCAGATTTCCTGGGGTTTTCCTGATCCACAGGACAATCGTCATAGGCGAATGCGGAGTAGTTATTAGGGCCCTCCCCCATTCCAATCCAAAGTGCTATGTGTTCTAAGTAGTGCCTCTACAAGAGAGCCGGATGCAAAGCACTGTAATATAAAAAAAAAAAGCATGTCATGACTCATGAGGCCTACTTACACAACACTGACCCCCAAAAAATTTAATGAAGAATTTTGCAACATATAAAAATTTGTAAACTTGCCTACCTCAAGTAATTGCTTACAAAATCTGCTTCTGCACTCTTGAACGTTTTCTATGTGAAAAAAAGGAAATATAAATAATAAAAACTAAAGCCCATTGTAGTAGTGTCAATTCCTTTAAAGACGGGATGTTAGAGAATAAATGTTTTTCGTAGACAATTATAGACAAATAAACTAAATGATTGTTTGCTATATCAATCATTACTATCATATTTTCTTAAAACTAAACTTAGGTTATACTCTATACATGACACCAATGCTACTTTGAAAAAAAAATCTGCCTGCTTCAGTAACAAATTAACTATCAGTCAATAAAACACTGGTATAATATTTTTTATACGGAAAAAAAATATACAATTATTAAGACAAATCAAAGCTTACTTTCTAAATAGGTGGAGAAAAAACATCTAATTTCTAAATGTAAGCCTTTTACTCAAATGTTATAAAATTTTAAGCTTAATGATGGTTCTCCATTGATTTGCTTCATTTGTTTTATCTATCACACTAACACATTGTTTTAGAATATCACGGATCATACATTCTTTTTCTAGAGGCACTCGTTGTACTTCATCTTTAAGGTTTACTAATGAGGTAATCAAACAAAATTTGCTTTGGTATTTAAACATTAACATCTACTGTATACAGTAAATTTTAATGATCCTTGCTTATACAAATAACAAAACTTGAACGTAACTTTGTAACCATTAATGACTGATACATTTAGATTAATAATATTCGATCATTTATTTATTTATGTGATTTAAGTGGATAATGTGAATATCCCCGCGATCCCCGCAATGCTCTAAGCCTAATGTAGAAGTAGCCATGTAAAAAATATTGGGATCGGCCCTTGAGAGCCTTCTCTCGAAACTTCAGAATCCCGCCACAACGCGTAAGGATATGAAAACTGATGGCGCTGACAGTCACAAGCCTTCTCTCCAATAGAGATATTTTAGATAGAGTCACAGACATATAAGAAATAAACTGGTCGTTCTTAGGCTGCAGTCACATTGAGCGCAATAGAGCATGCAGGATAGAATTGTCCCCATAAGCGGCTGTGTTAAGTCTGTTGCGCTGCAGCATAGACCTATTGTGCGGCGCAATAGACTTAAGGTGGTTCTTCACGATGGTGCCGTATCAAAGTGAGTCTCACAAAATAAAAAGTGTTTTCGCATAGCTTACCAAACCACTATATTATTATGTTTTTTGGGTCGCTGATTCCGAATCCGAGGTCAGATGACCTTCTTAAAGGATGGTTCAAGGTCACTTAACGGTCGAATCTGAATGAAATTCCCAAATCTAGAATACACTAGATTCTAACACTGAATCTCATAGCTGCAACTTTCACAATTGCGTGTACCTAGTACATAATACTAATTTACAGTTAATTTTTGATTCATTGAAAGCAAACAATTGCAATCATCACAGCTCAAGATGAACTTGATTTATAATGCATGTTACATTGGTCGAGGAATGTGTCTCGTTGATTTTTTGTGTGCAGGACTTACTTTCATCATTGACATTCATTTAGTCGCCTCTTTAATTTTCAGTATACAGACCTGAATGTTATTATTTATAATCCTTTTAAGTTAAAGTCAATAACTATTGTTTTAGATGATTTGAGTCTCAGCTTCTCTATATCTGACTTTGAGAATAATTTTATACAGAAATGTGTATTTATTAAGATCCATAATCTTTTTTCTATGAAAGTTGATCTTATGGGCTCCTGAGATACATTATTGAAGTAATTAAAGCTAACCTGTTAACATGTATAAATTATACTACTAATAAGTATTAACTATATATACAGGTACTATATAGCCAAAGACTTTTGTCTTTTTATTGTAATTAACTAATCATCCTTTCAATTTATCTTTCCAATATGTTTTTACATTATTTGCAATCTACGATTCATTTTAAAAAATGCTTTACTCTTTGATATGTCTTGGCTGTGAGCATAAAAATAAATTGAAGGATGAACAATTTTTTTGTGTCAACAATCTGAATTCATCGGCTATCAATAATTTGAGAACTATTTATAATACTAGAAAACGGAAACTTGAAGCTATAGAAACAATTCCAGTGGACATCAGCAAAATATGCAGACTGTGCTACGACGCGACGCCTACGACTGTGTTCAAAGAAATCCTGGCATTCAAACTTGCTCTACGTTGCCAGATCTGTCCGTTTATAGAAAAGGCTTGAACTCACACAATCGATGTACATTTGGGTGTAAGAACCCATCAAAATTAATTGCTGTTCCCAGCAATAAACGTGAGCTACTTTTAATAAATTATAAATTGTTTGTTGAGCCTAATGCCCGTATGTGCTCTGAACATTTCAATGATGTCGATTATTGGCCTTTAGTGACACAAATATTTGAAGAAGTATCACCGACGGAGCAAAAGTTTGTAAGCGATATCATGTTCGAATACTATCAGAACCAAAATAAAAATGTGGGTACATTCGATATCAATACACTTGAGACTATAGCAGATGGGTCTTTTAAGTCTTTTCTCGGATTAAAAAAAAATAAATTCAATGAAATATGTGAATTCACTAAGAACTGTGAATCAAAATATGTAGCTATTCTTTTGTGTAAAATTTGTACTGCACTTTCACATGAACAATTGGCTTATCTCTTTGGATACCAAAGTATTTCATCAATTTCTAACCATTTAGAAAAAGCAAGAAATGATTGAATTCAAAATTTGGTTCCTTACTTCCTCAACATTTCTAATCATGAGACCATAATCTCACCTCCTGGTCAAACGTTCGCGAGTCCAACCCAGCGCGATATCGTCCGTCCTACGGCTTCACTCCTTCTCTTCTCTTGCCCTCTTCTTCTTGTCTCAGTGGCTTCCGTAGTCCTTGACCTGGAGATCTCGTCGTCCTGGGAGAACACAGCAGCTGCTAGACTTCAGCTCACACTTAATTCTCTCTTCCCTCGACACTCTACACACCTTCTCGAAAACTTTCTCAATTCTCTCTCTCACTCTTCTTTCTCCACGAAAATCCGCAAACCACCAAAGCTCTCGCTGCTCGGACTTAAGCGTACAGGTCGAGGCTCTCCTCCAGACTGACTCGCGATCTCTCGCTTGAGCAATGGCGGCCGCCGCTGCTGCTGCCACGTATCTTCCCTCACAGTCACTCTAGACGTAGCACCTACTGTGTGTCCTGGTAGTCGCGTTCGCGTTTTCTTATCCTTTCCTACTGGCGCTGCTGTGTCTCTGCACAGCTCAACTTGTTGTCCGTTGGTGTCCTCTTCTCCTCCTCTTAGCGTATATACAGCTCCCCAAAAACAAAAAAAATTCGGAGAAGCTTCGACTTTCTGCTTTTTGTATATACGTTGCATCAACGAGAGCATTTTAGGACGTGGAGACCATTTTTGCATCTTTACAATGAATTATTCTGTTTTAATTTCTTATTATTATTTTCATTTAAATTTATGTGCTTTGTCAACGCTTTTTGTCCGATACGTCAAACTAAATACTTTTTCAGTGCTGCTTCCATTTGAATAATTTGTTACGTAAATATTTCGTGCTGGCAACGCTATTCCATAATTTCATAGAACCAAACAAATAATTTTTTAGGATATTAACATAAATTATACGTCTTAAAACTCCGAAGAAATTATAAACATCCAACTAACGAAATAAAAAAGCCGAAGATACCAAAAAAACTTAATTTTATTTCAATAATATCAAAATTAATCATCACAGAAAAAGTACAACATACACTAAATGATGTATGAATATTTATCGAAATACATATATCATATATATTTTGGCTTGTATTTACATTCTCAATTCACATCTTGTGGTTACTGACACCTCAGTGTGCAAAAATAAGTTTCACAAATTATCGGTATTTTTGTAACTCCAAGTACTAAATATTTTAAATTGAAGCTCAACTCACACTTTTTATTGATTTATGAACTTTTTTTTTTTTTTAGAAATGATTAAGCTGTTACGAATGAGAATGATGAAATTCTTGCAGCACGTAGCTTATAACTTTGAGAGTCTTAAAATATTTCAGAATAGTTGTACTTATCAGTGTCAAAGAATCAAAGCTTAATATGTTAAGCTGTATGTGAGCATATAAATATGGAAAAATAGCTTAAATAGCTGACTACTTTAAGGGGAAGTACCGTTTAATTATTTTATGTCACTGCGCAGCCGCTGCGAGTTTGCAAAGTTAGGGAGAGGCGACGGGAGAGTATAGACGACTCGCTTAAGCTCTGAATTAGAAATTTGTCGTTCAAGAGGGCGTTTTATGTTTTTCAACGTATTTTTTTACGCTAATTACGGGAAAAATAATTAAAAATTTTTTAAATAATTGGATCAATGTGAAAATCGCTTCTGAAGTTTATTTTACTCATATCTCTTTAACGGTAACAGATACGACAAAAATAAAAATACCAGCGTGTAGGGCAAAAAATTTCCTATCGATTTGATTCATTACATATCTTCAGACAAGCGCGAAATTATTCTTAAAAAATTAATTAAGCATTTCTTACACTTGCTGTAAGAGTGAGTGAGAAGGAGAGAGCGGCAGCCACGACGAGGCGTACGAGTCATACTCCCCCTCCATGCTCTACTACATGCGTGCGTTGTATACGTAGAATATGGTGCGTGGAGAGAGAGAGAAGCAAGAGGGGAAGCGTCAGCGAAAGCAAATGCTGGATCGAATTTTTCTTTTTCAGGTTACGGGCCGCACACTAGAATTTTTCCTGCTCAAAAATTATTTAATGATGAAAAAAAAGTCTCCGAGGAAAACGTTTGTTTTACGTTTCTTTGTATTTCCTGTCGATTGGTAATAGTGTCAAATAAGGTTTTTTTTTTTTTCCTTTCTAGAAGTAGTAAATCGAACTTCATCGTTATTTGACTTTGGTAAACATGTGTGTTTAAGCATATTGTGCATGAACATGAAAGAAAGATTTTATTTTTTGCATTTTTAAAAACATTTCAGGAAAAAAAACTATTTTGCCATTCAAACGTTGCAAATATCTCAAATATTCTTTTTAGCTTAACCATTCCCGTTATTACAATATTCGTGCGACTGTCACCTTTTTTAGATTTATTAAGCAAAGATTTTTTCCTATTGATTTATTTTCAATTAAGTATCGTAAACTATTTTCTGCACTATTTTCCAAAGATTTTTATTTCGATTTTTAAATTTAAGTAATCTAACTGTGTGTGCGTCACTGTTCAAATTAAAGCGTCAACTTCAATCAGCTGCATTCATAGTAAACAATTTAACGATTAAGCTGCAACGCAAGGTACCGGTCATTTCAATTTGCTCTCTGGGCCCCGCGGGAAAAAAACTTTTGTTTCGACGTACGCGCCATTGATAAATTTTTTTTAATAGACCGTGTGTGATAGTTTACATCAATGAGTGTCAGAAATTATTTTTGAAGTGTCTTGTTTATCGATCAAGATTTTTTTCTGCTGTACGAGGATCTATCTACAAGCATCAGCAGAGTGAAGTGACATTGAGGGCAATCCTGTCGGCAAAACGTATAATCAGCGAAGTTGACCTTGTTTTTAGAAGTACGTACATTCGATGGTTTTTTTAAATAAGTTAAAGCTTTCATTGCCTCAAGCATCAGCATTAAAAAGCTGCAAGATGTGTGCGTATGCAGCTGAACAGTTTTAAGAAAGTTCGTAAGTTTTTACGAGGAGAGCAAAAGCATTTGAGTACGTTGTTTGTAAATTTTTTTTTTTTTTTTCAAATCTTTGGCAAGGGGCTCATTTTTAATACGAGTGTCTTCGTTAAGTGTTACGCTATCTACATAAACTATTTTGTATGCTAAAAAAATTACCAACATCTACAATTTACATCAAATATCATAAAAACGCTTACGTAATACGAGATT